ACACACACACACACACACACACACACACACACACACACACACACACACACACACGCACGCACACACTCGCTGGGCTGAAATGACAGCAGGAGCCGGTGAAGTAGAATTGTTCTTTAATTGACTCAAATCCCCCAGTACAGTAAAAGATCAAGGCCGTAACTAAACTCTTCCTCCTACAACACCATAGAAAAATACCCTGCTCGTCTGAATGAGGCAAGCTATGGAGCAGAAGACGGGTTGATGAGTGAAGTAACTAACTAACTAACTAACTAACCTCTCGACTGCAAACTCACTTACACTCCAGGCCAGTACATCCTTAAATATTCATAGGTTACGCAAAAAATCCATATGGAGGATATACCTCGAAAAACAAAAAAACAAAACAACCTCATATATCAGTTTACATCCAAAACAAACTCCAAACCACAGGGTTACAGATTCACAAGAGCAAACGAAATCAACAACACAAGTCCTGCGTCTTCACGTCTACATCTACATCAGAGCTGCTCCAACAGAGCGTGTGCTTTGTCCTGTGACTCGCAGGACTTTAACATGACGCTCAATCGCCCGAACATACTTCTAAGCGTTCGCTGAAGAGGGGAACGATGAAAGAAATACAGGCTGTGAAACCTCTAATGAAAGTGTAACGTGTCTAAATGAACTCAGACGCAAACAAAACTACTAATTAACTGAAATCTAAAGAGGAGAATCGCACGAAACCGGTCAGGAACATACATGACAGAAGCCACAATTCACCCAAAATAACAAGAAAGAAATGACATTATTTTGCAAGAAGAAAATCAAGTTTTTTGCATTGCGACATTATTGTTACTATTAATTAAATACGCATTTATCCTAAAAGTTTCACTGTTGCAATGCAAATAATGCACTGCAAAAAAAGTATTTTTGTCTTGTTTTTCAGTACAAATATATAAACATTACTAAATCAAGATATATTTACTTGAAAAACTAAATGAAAGATGTCAAGTACACAGTTTTCTGAGAAAAAAAAAAAGTTAAAATTAAGTGACTTTATGCTTAAAACAAGAACAAATATCTGCCAGTGGGGTCAGAAAAATAAAACACGTTTATTATTTTTAAGTTAGTTTTTTCAGTGGTAGATTTATTTTCTTGTTTTAAATATAAACTATACATTTTCAGGGTTTTTTTTTAAACAAGACTTAAGTAATTTATCTTAAGTAAATGTGTCTTGATTTAAAAATGTTTAGATATTTGTACTGTAAAACAAGACAAAAATACGGAGTCAAAAAAGTGTAGTAATAAAATGACGTAATCTGAAGCATTTCTACATCATGGTTGTATGTGTACTGGATTTACTTTTTTATTGAATAAATCTGTTACAGAAGCTTCCTGTCACGAATTCGGTCCATGGACTTCCGTTTATTCACCACCAGAGGTCACCCTTTCCATTACATTGACTCTCGCACAACACAAACTGTTGCATAGCACCCCGGACTACATATCCCATCATTCTTTGCACGATTTGCACACTGCACTGATTGCACTCATTGCACACAGCTGTTTCTAATCACCTCACTCACTATATAACACCCACTCTAACCACCTTTCTCGGCTGAGTATTGTTTAGCCCGTACCCCATTCCGAGTCTCTGTGTTTTCCTTGTTTTGCCTTGCCTTGCCTGTTTCCGCGGTTTCTGATCTTTGCCTGTTTTCCTGGATTTTTCCCTCTCGTCTCGCCCCTGTGATTCTGTCTGCCGATCGGTGACCTACGCTAGCCCTGGGACTATTCTTGTGTTTTGCCCGCCATATACCTGTTTGCCATTGTTTGACCCTGCCTGTTTACCACGTCTCTTTAATAAAGCCTGCAGATGGATCCACACGTCTCACGTCTCGTCAGCCCCGTTACACTTCCCTTGTACTGTAGTAAAATGAGTGTGTTTCAATAATGAGAATCTAATGAAAATCACATCTGATGATAATGAGAATAACAAACAAATCACGAACAAACAAGTCACGATAATGAGAGCTGCAGGGAAATGTCACGATGCAAAAATCCAGTGGTCCAAACTTTTTCTCCTCATTCAAAATGCAAAATGTCTTATTTCTATCTCTGGATTTTTAGAGTAAGCTCCTGACGGGTTTAGTGCGACTCATTAGGTTGCAAATGCAAATAAATGCAGCGCTGCATGTCAGAGTCATGTGTGCATGAACATATTTGTGTTCAAATCAAATAATATTGATGTTTCTGCTGCATAATGTTGGAAGGTGGAATAAACGGCATAGTACTGATAATGATTCTGCGGTGGCGTCATGTTCAGGTGTGTGTGTGTGTGTGTGTGTGTTAGGAGGCCATGGATGTGTTGGGGCTCCAGCCCATCTGATAGGCTCGTTCCAGCGTTCGCTTACAGTCCTGCATCACTGTACTGAACACAATGTGTGGATACTGCAGCACCAGTCTCTCCACCGTCTCCTCGTTCACCTGCAACAAAACAAACAAACACATTTGCTTTTCATTTGACTTCTTTTGACTCGACGCATTGATTTTTCCTAAAAAGCATCACAAATGCACGACACACCATTTGCATTGAAGAAATGATTCCTATATTAATGCAAGACATCTGTGAGAAAGCTTGTGTTGAGTTTACAGCGAGCGGCTGATGAAACACAGACGCTCCACATGTTGAGTGAGATAATCACCACACCGCGTCCACAGGGATCCAGGCCAAACCTTCATCATGTGCCATGTCAAGTGTGTTATTCACATGCAGACTGAAGGTGAAGATCTCACATGACCTGCTCTAATCACTCAGGACCTTTACACAGAATATACTGTACATCTGCGGCAAACACCATCTGATGCATGCACTTTGATTTCTGCTGTGTTTTCCAGTACAAATATCTAAACATTCATAATCAAGACACTTTTCTTAATTTACTCGAGATGCGAAATGACTTCAGATATTAAGTCTTATCTTAAGTCATTTTGCTTCTCAAGTAAATGTATCTGGATTTAAGAATGTCTAGATAGTTGTATTGGAAAATGCTGAGAAAGAAAACTTGCAAAAAAACAGAGACAAAAAAAAAAAAAATCAAGATAAAGCAAAATGACTTGAGATATTAAGTATTGTTTTCTGAAAAATGAAGCAAAATAAAGCAAATTTATTAATCAATTAATTTTAAATAAAATATTTAAATATTTAATATTAAATAAATAAATACATTAAAAAAATCCGCCAATTGGGTATATATATATATTTTTTTTTTTTGCAAGTTTTCTTTCTCTTTTAATCAAGTTTATCTTTTGACCCCATTTGCAGATATTTTGATACATTTTTTCACAAAACAAGACAATACCTTTGCTGCAAGTAAATGCATCTTCATGTAAAATGTAAATAGTTCTACTGAAAAAAAGACTACAATACTAAGAAAGGAAATAATTTTGCAGTGTAACCACTTATTTAAGACACTATAATTTTTTCCCCATTTCAAATTGTCTGGTTTCTATGCAAATTAGGCTCAATGTACAGTAGATTACACCTTATTTGTTTAAAACAGTCATTTGTGTATTTATTACAGATCATAGAAACAGTAATTTTTCAAATGACTTTATTTTTATTTTTAACATTTTTCAGGACATTTTATACATATTTCTGGCTTAAAATCAGTCATTTTTTCTTATAAAGTAAATGTTAATTTAAGACTTTTTTGACACTTGTACTGGAAGACAAGAAAATGAAAATAAAATATTTATATAAAATATTTAATATAAAAAGTACTGGTAATTTTCTTTGCATTAATTTTATGGACATTTCTGTTAACTTGCAACCCAAAGCAGTAAAAAAAAAAATCAAAATACAGGTAAAACGATCATTATGGAAAATATTAATGCAGTACATTACAGTAAAGTACATTTTTATGGATTTTACGTGTTTTTTTTTTTTTTCAATGCACGCACTCCAAATGCTTTTAAAATTCCAGTTCACTTCCTGAATTTGAATAGAATCAAACAGGAAGCAGATACTAAGTTTTGTTTTCTGAAAAATGCATCAAAAGAAAGAAAATGTATACTTAAAACAAGAAAAATAACACTTGTTTTCCCTTTTAATTAAGATGATTTTTCTGACTATTAGCAGATTTTTTTCTTGTTTTAAGCATGAACTCACTTTATTTTGACCAGTTTTTCAGAAAACAAGACTTAATATCTTAGGTAATTTTGCTACCTAAGTAAATGTATCTTGATTTAAGAATTTATTTATTGTTTTGCAGTGTACAGTAAGTATCACACACATTTCACTGTAGTTGATATAATATTTCTCTTTGACTGTAACTGAACGTCTCTGTTATCGCAGCTTATTCAGTTTGGAAAGACAAATGTTGACTGTCATGCAGCATTAAACGGCCGATTATTGCACAACGTGTGTGTATGCGTGTGTATTTATGAGTCGGTCCAAAAGCAAAAATGCACTTTACGGTCTCAAGTTGTTCTGATGATTCCAGCACGCAGTGTAAATGTGTGCTGTGTGGCGGAAACACTGAAATATATGATCCAGACACAAACACACACACATTCCTCACATCCAAACACAGTATTCTGGTTAAGACTTAAAAAGCTTTCTGGAGTGGGTGAGCATCGCTCATTTACCGCAACCCAAAACCTGCCTGCAGCACATGTACCGCGGTAAAACACTGTGACGCGGCTCATATTTCTCAGAAAACCCTTATGTTTTAAAACATGAAACCTCAAAAATCATAACAAAACACACGTAACACACACAGACACAAAACCTGCCTGCAGTTCTAAACAGAAGAGACTAATGATCAGAAAACCTTTATTTTACACTCCAGCGAGTTTGTGCTCGCATTATGACAGAAACACCTCACACAAAGATCATATAAAGTAATATAAACGTCATTTTAGCTGGATATTTTGGGTGAAATATTCAAATATATAATAGTTAAGCTCAACACAGTTAGGGTTTAGCAGCTTCACACGTTCGTGACAGAGCTTGCATGTACTTGCGGCTTCACTGTATGTTTTGGATCTTTGTCTCTGTGTAATTGTCGTCCCTCATTGATATCGTTACTGTAAATGTGATTTTTGCTTGTTTTCACTAGCTGGAATTATTTTCTGTGGTAATCAACATCATGACACACATGCTGCTCACAGAACTTAAACTCAACCCAGAACCTTCCTTTAAAATCAACACTGGATACTTTTGAGCCCTAGCAATCACCTGGCAGCATCCTAGCAACCATCCAGCACACCCCAGAAACACCCTAGAAACCACCCAGCAACACCTTAGCGACAGCAGAGCAACCAGCAACACCCTAGAAACCACACAGAACACCCCAGCAACAGCATATCAACCATCCAGCAACACCCTAGAAACCACCCAGAACACCCCAGCAACAGCATAGCAACCATCCAGCAACACCCTAGAAACCACCCAGAACACCTCAGCAACAGCATAGCAACAATCCAGCAACCAGCAACACCCTAGACACCACCCAGAACGCCCCAGCAGTACCCTAGAAACAGCATAGAAACCACCTAGCAACCAGCAACACACTAGAAACCACAAAGAACACCCCAGCAACACTAAAGAAACAACACAGCAACCATCCAGCAGCCCCCTAGGAACCCGGTATTAGCCCGGTTCTGTCAACACTGCACTGGCTCCCTATTAATTAGGTCAGCCTGAACCGGGAACACTTCCCATAACACCTGATGTACTGGTTAAGAATGGTTCCTTGCCGCTGTCGCCTCTGGCTTGCTTAGTTGGGGACACTCAGCACCTAGAGATGACCTCTACATCCCTGAATGTCAGCGGAGACCAGGACAACTAGATGAGCCCCAGAGACAGATCCCCAGTGAAGACCGTGTCTCCTAGACAGCCACCGGGACAAGACCACAGGAACCAGATGAATCCTCTGCACAATGTGACTTTGCTGCAGTATGGAACAAACTGCTGGTTTGTCTGGCCAGAGGAGAACTGGCCCCCCGACTGAGCCTGGTTTCTCCCAAGGTTTTTTCTACATTCTGTTACCAATGGAGTTTCGGTTCCTTACCGCTGTCGCCTCTGGCTTGCTTAGTTGGGGACACTTAATTTCCAGCGATATCGTCGACTTGATTGCACAGAAACTACTTAAACTGAACTGAGCTGGATGATGACATCACTGTATTCAATGATGAACTGCCTTTAACTGAAAATTGAGTGTTTACTATTGTCATTTTGCATTATTGACACTATTTTCCTAATTAATGCTGTTCAGTTGCTTTGACACAATCTGTACTGTTAAAAGCGCTATATAAATAAAGGTGACGACTTGACTAGGAACCACCCAGAACACTCCAGCAATACCCTTGGCAACAGCATGGCAACCAACTAACAACCAACAACACTCTTGTAAACCACCCTGTACACCCTAGAAATATCCTAGCAATCACCCTAGTAACAGCATAACAACCACCTAGTAACCAGCAACACAGTAGGAAACACCCAGCAACACCCTAGCAACAGCATAGCAACCACCTACCAACCAACAACACCATAAGAACCACCCAGAACACCCCAGCAACAGCACAGCAACCACCTTGCAACACGCAAAACCCTAGCAACCACCCAGAACACTCCAGCAACACCCTAGTAACAGTAAAGCAATCACTAAGTAACAAACAACACCCTAGCAACCACCCAGAACACTCCAGCAACACCCTAGTAACAGTAAAGCAATCACTAAGTAACAAACAACACCCTAGCAACCACCCAGAACACTCCAGCAACACCCTAGTAACAGTAAAGCAATCACTAAGCAACAAACAACTCCCTATGAACCACCCAGAGTCTGTCTATGATTGTAAAACTTTAAAACATCAAGATTGTAAAACTATTTTAAACTTTCAGGCTGAGCATTCTGAAGCCATCATAACAAACTTTACTCATCTTGTTTATATACTTGGCCTCTTCCCAACTTCCTGTCTCTACAGGAAATTCATCAACACAGTAAAGAAAATTGCACTCATCAAGACTTTTCATAAAGCACATATTCTGTAGTTAATTTCACAATCCAGTAGATTCTTTTGCTTCACATGAAGCATCTAAGAAACGCCTCTTCTCTTTCATTCAAACTCTCTGATATCACGAGACAGAACTGTGCTGTTCTACAGGAACTTTACTGACAGTGACGTCTGAACGTCTCGCGGCTTTTCTGATCTTCTTAAAGCGAACAGAAGTCTCTCCTCCTCTGCCGCTGTTGTTTTTGTCTCATTTCACACCGATGCCGTTCTCGTCACTCATCTCTGCTCATATTTACTCAGACTGTAATGGAGCTTCAAAAGCAAAAAGCTGAATGGATCCAAACCCTGTGCGAAAGCCTCGATGAGATGTTGTGTCCTCGAGGCAAACCGTTAGTGGTCTAACAGCGCGATGAGCTCAAACGGACTGTAATTTCCCACCGAGAACATAAAGCTCTCCAGAT